GACGTGAAAAACTCTATTAAAAAGTTACATATAAATTTAATACATTACGTACTTATTTCCACTTTTACTGTAAAAAATATGGTATTGAATTGAGTATATATATATTAGGTGGACTAAAAAACAATTTTTTTTCACGAAATTACATTCAATGGTATTGTCATACCAGTATAAATGAAATATAAACATACGCCCGCGAAAAAATAATATTTTTGGTTCCTAATATATATATATATTTATATATAAAATGTATTAAAAAAATATTTAGAACTTTAAATTTAAAAAAAAAAAATGTTTAATATTATTAAAAATAAAAGATCGAGGTGAAAACTTACTATCTATACGTGTTTCCATATCTGAACGTCGTTGTCGCATTTAAATATGAAACAAATTTATATGCCTATTAGGGTGATGCTATTTATGCAAAAACAAAAATTTCTATCGGGACAATCGCCTATCTTGTGCCGTGTAAAAAAAAAATATCCTACATTTTGAGACCATTTGGATAATATTTAGTGGAGGCACACGGTGTTTTAATATTTAATAATAAACAAATTCCATGAAATATAAGAGAATATAATATTGATTGGTTTTGTTTGTTTCGGTTGTTCTTAAATTGTTTTTATTGATTTTATGCAAACATTGGGTAATTAAATATTAAAATGACATTTTTTAATGTTGTCCAAATTGCCTCAAACTTGAAGATATATTTTTTTTTATCACACAGTACAAAATAGGTATGTGTTCCGGAGGAAATTTTGCAATTTGCAAAATAAAGACGATTCCAATGTATATATATATAATTATTATAAATATTTTACCGGGGAAATATTATATTTATTAACCCGACTGCAAAGCGGGTATAATGAGTTTAAATCTCATAGAAAATAATTGAAATAATTAAAAATTATAAAGGTAATAAATAATAATATAGATTATATTATTACATTAGATCAACATTATTTATTAAAACATTAAATATTATAACATTTCTCTAGAAAGAGTGACCCTGTGCCAAACGTCTAGACGCGTGTACGAACCAGTTTCCTGAAAATACATGATATTAGTTACATGTGTCCTTGGGTATCTAAGCCGAGCGTAACATTATGCTTGCCAAATGGGGCAACAGGTGATGCCACATATCTATGATTCTCGTGCAGGGTTCTCCCCGACTCAAAGAGATGAGTGACGAGGCAATGTAAATCGGAGCGATATTGCCAGTAGACAAGTTGTTGACAGATAAAAAAATAAAAATAAACATCTTTGTAAATCCCTAAGCTTCTCTGTTCCACTCAGAATCTAAAATGTGTTGAGCTGAACTGTAAGCAGATGACTATGCAAATCGAGAAGCGGTAGCTGGGACCGCGCTTTGATGTGTTGATATGCATCCGGGGTTCGCCCTGAACCTCTGCGTCCCCTGACTAGCTCATAGGCTAAAATAGGGTACGCAGTTGTACCGTCGCATTTATGTGTGAATTAAAAAATGAGGATCTACTGTACTTTCAACATAATCTCTTAATGCAGCATAATCCAGGCACTTTTCACCACACCAATTTTTAGTTGTAATTCTAATCTTAAGTGTCCAAAATAAAGTATGTTTGTTGTATTTGTATTTCATACTATGTATTTTAATTTAATTCCAGAAGATATCTCCCAATAAAAATAAAAAATATTGATAAAATAGCATTTTTATATGTTTTGTGTATTTTAATACTGGATTATTTAAAAAAAAAAAAAAAGATATTATTACTTTAAAAAAATTAAGTTGTGTAAATTTATCTTAAAAATACTCACGAATATCGACATCTAACTGGTATTGTAGGTATTCACAAGCTATATAATATAATATTGAAATACGATAAAAAATTAATTATTCGTAATTTCCTACCTAGCCATTATATTATATAGCTAAATATTATATTCAGCTTAAACCTTAATTTATGCTTTTATTAAATATTGTAGATTTAAATTATATCAATATTGCATTATTTGCATTGATAAATCTAAACCTTCTCTTAAAAAATTTGATTTGAAATAAACATCTATATAGTTCCAAAATATTTTTCTTGTAAACAAAAATGTGCATATAGTTAATAAAAACATTTGAGATATTATCATTAGTTTTACATAATGATACTTATGTTGAATTTCGTACACTAATCTATTGATAATTTCATTTTCTACAGCTGTTGTAACATTTACTGAATCACGAAGTTATAGCGAGTAAAACAACAACACGAATTGTTCGAATATTACTTACCCTCATCATCTTCGACACAATGTTCCTTTTCTGTGTATCGAAATCAAAAATTGGAAAACATATGTAGTGTATTATAATTAATTATGTTACCTACACATTTAAAATGTGTATTTATTTTCAAAATATACTGCTTTAGAATTTTAAATGGTTGACCCTGTTAACTATAACACTGAGATATAATATAGTTCTGAATGATTTAGCTTCCTAAGACCTGTTTATGTAGTAAGGTGATATTTTGTTCAATGGGGATAACTTGTTCTTTTTTAGAACATTTGGTTTCGTTATGCGATTTTTTAATAATGAATGTCAACATTGTAACAATGAGATATAAGGAAATTATCAGTTGTTTAAAACGTAATGCAATCATAAGAGGTTGGTGAGGGGGGATAAGGAAAGAAACGGATGCATTTGAATATTCCATTATTGTAATACCAGTAGACAACTATGTACAGTTTTCTACATTATTACGAAATGTATAAATACGTACCGAAATGATGTTTAAATTTCTTCAGCAAGTTGTGCAACCAACCTATACATTTCAAATAAATATTCATTTATACTTATTACTTAGGTAGTATACTTGAAGAGTAAAGTAATTTCCTCATAATTTACTTGTATTGTTACAAAATTACGTAATTTGGTTACGTATTGTTAACAGCAATTTTTTGTTTAAAAGTTATACGAATTATCTATATTAGTTGATTTTAATAATAATTATGATAAGTACTTAGAGTTATAACTGTTATAGATGTACGTATGGTTACTATAAATTGTGTATTAATTTGAGTAAAAAATTAATTCGTTTAGGTATTTATATTGTCTATAAATTCGTTCGAAAGAGGAGATTTACAAAAAAAAAAAGTAATTTAAATATTACGATTTACTTTCTAGATTCAGGAGTATTTTAATTACATGTACATTTTAAATGATAAATATAAAAATTAATAATATTAAATTTTAAAAAGCTAACGAGTAATCATAATTTTAAACTATTAACTTGTCAAATAATGTACCGAATAGTTACCTTTATGTCGATCAGCTGTTTAGTATATATGTATATAAAAAAAAAACACACCATTTATAATAATAATTATTTATTTTATTTTGTAATGTGCAATATAATGTACAATGGGTACATTGTATCTAAATACTAAAATATAATTTTAGATTGAAACAATCATTAAAAAAATGCGTCGATTACGAACCTTAATTTAACTTCTAAATATATTTGGATTGCCAATAAAAATGAGAAATTTAGCTAAATAAATATTAGATAACGTTTTGTTTAAAAGAATCAACTATAGAGTTTAAATACAAATTGGTAACATGAGCAGCCTTGTGACATATCTAACAACTGCAGCATATTGTGTTAATTTTCAATTATAAATAATATTGTTTTGTGGAATATGATAAGTAGTTATAATTGTGTGCATCGGTAATAATCAAATACTTACCTTTTTTAACTAAAGTGTATTTAAATATAAACAAAAATCAATTATGTATGTATTATGTATTTTTATTTTTTTAATAATAATATTGATCACTATACATAGTATACAGCAATTACGCTGTAAAATACATAAATATAATATAGATTTCAAGGGCCAAAAATTTAAAAAAAGACGTTCTAAAATAATGGGGATAAGTGCAGCCACTGTTATAGATAATTTAATGTATATCTGTGAGCAACAATAAACTATTGAAAAAAACGATTCGAAAAAAAGAAACGGAGTTCAGTCGATAGTGATGCTTTGTCAACAACCTGTATGTCAAAAAAATAATTAACTAGGCTTTATACATTTCTTTAATAATATTTATTTCATGTTGTACCGATTTTCCCAGTTTGTCTACGTTTTTCCATATTTGCTGGGAAAAGTCTTGGGAAAAATGAAAAATGACCTCCTTAAAGTACCTCGTTACACCAATTTCCTTTCAGAAAAAGTGCTACACACAGAATTTCGAGAAAGTTATCTGGTGGAAAAGTTGTGCATAGATAAAAACAAAAATAAACATTTTTGTAAAACTATAAGTTTTTTTGCTCCTCTCAGAATCTAAAAATGATCGATACAGGTAAACATTTTAAATTTTCGATTATACAGAACCATAGGCACGAAATTTCGTGTCTTTTACAGTATTGCATGCGATTTATGTTCATTTTAATAAACCGAAAAAGTATTTTTCTAAAAAAAAATATATCGTGAAACGTATCCAGAATCTAAAATAAATATACAATATTTATTATAAGCAGTGTTCGGAACTTATAGCTATTTGGAATTTTCCTTAGTGTGCTATTAAATCCACTAAAAGGAAAGTTTAGATGACGGTGCAAGTTTAAACGTGCAATTTCAAATTACTTTTTCGATAGTTAAAAAAAAATAAAATACTTTTTACTAGTTTTTGTTTTTTAAACAATTTTTAACTGAATATATATATATATATATCAGTGCTATAATGACAATTTTAAGTTGTGTTTTGTTGATATATGTACTATAAGCTCTGTTTATAAAATATTAATTTTATAAAAAATATCAGGTATCTAAACCATTTTCAGAAAAAGAACACACCACGCCACGCATCCAGACAACGCCTTAAATTCTATGATTGATTATTAATAATTAATTAGTAGAGACATGTGCGCACACGGATCTATTTTAGTCCGTCGCCTGGTGCGTTGTTATTCTGGAAATATAATAGTATCAACATTTCTTTAAATCCATTTTAGGCAACAAAAGTGTTTGTTTACTTACCTGATTCTCTAAATTTGCTATTATAGCTTTCATCTATACATTAAAATACCAAACAAAAAAAATAAATAAAAAATACTGTGATTTAGTCAATCCAAATCGGTGGGTACCTAATATATACAATTATAATATTGTAGTGTGCATGTATAACAGATTGTTTATTAATTTGATTATTATTTCATCTAAATTTAAATAATATCTGAATTATACAATACTATTGTGGAAATGTTTATAACATTTTGGAATATTATAAACTGCCTGTAAGTTTTTTTCTCATAATTAATTGTATAGGCAATAGAAATCAATATTTCGAGAAAAGTAGTAGGAATTCTAAAAAAAAATGTTTGAAATAAAATTTTATCAGGGAGAAAAGTCACAGATGTTCATCCGTTTACTTTTATTAATAACCTTGGGAAATAAACTACATATTAATTGAACGTATAGCTTCTTTGCTATACTCAGATTTTTTTTCAATCAATTCATCTCTGAGGGGTGCATCGATTTAGAGAAAAATATAATTTTTATTTTCATTCCTTGAACATAAAAAAAAATAACTTTTTATTTATTCAATATAGAAAATTTCCAAAATAGCCATTTTGTAAAAATACTATTCTCAACATTTTAATCTATAGTACATTTATATTCGATTAATAGTTTCTTAATTATAGCCGTTTTAATTTCTAGAAAAGAGGCGTGAAAACAATTAATATTCAATAGAAGGTTAAGAATTACCGTACTGATTGTATTTCCTTATCACATAACGTCTTATTTTATTGAATATTAATTTTTTTCACGCCTAATGAAATTGTATGTGAATTAAGTTTATTTTAATAAACCGAAAAAGTATTTTTCTATAAAAAAATACATCGTGAAACGTATCCATAATCTCAAATAAATATACAATCTTTATTATAAACAGTATTCGGAACTCATAGCTCTTTGGAATATTTCCTCAGTGTACCAATAAATCTACTAAAGGGGAAGTTTAGATCACGGTGCAAGTTTAAACGTGAAATTTGAAACAGCGTCGGACATTCTATGATTGGTTATTGATAATTAGTAAAGACATGCGCGCACACGGACCGATTTTTGTCCGCCGCCTGATGCGTTCTTTTTCTGAAAATAGCATAGTATCGATATTTCTTTAAATCCATTTTAGACAGTAAAAGTGTTTGTTGTTTATTATTATTATTTTATATACTTTCCGTTACAGAGTTAAGAAACCATGAATAAAAAGTACTTACCTGAATCGCTACATTCGTCACTATCATCTATACATTAAAAAACCGAGCAAAAAAATAAATAGAAAATACCGAGACTTAATTAATCCAAATCAGTGGGTACATAATATGTAAAATTATAATATTGTAGTGCATATGTAACAGATTTTTTATTAATTTGGTAGCGGAGTATCAGTTGTGTGGTGGTACCGAGCGCGGCGTATTAATAATGTACCACCACTCTCCCCCAACCCAAACCTAAAAGTGGAATATTTCGTCAACGGATTGTCGGAAATCAAACATTTCAACACCGAAATTTATTTTGATGAATATTCTGGCTATTCATAGATTTTTTAATATAGGTCGCCATTTGAAAATCAAAAGTAGGAAATGGTTTTACCCCCAAAAATAAGAATGACAAAAAATAACATAAATATAAGATTGTAGAGCACCTTACTTCTTAAATATTCTAGAAAAAAAATTCTGAAAAAAGTAAATACTTTCCGTGATAACGAGTGTCTAACGATAGATTGATCACTCAATATTGTTAAGTTATTACGATTACACAACCGTTAGTTATGTATTATACTCAAATTTATCTAAATAATTTTTGGCTATCGCTGTATACAAATATTACTTACTGATTTCAACATGTTCTGTACAACCTAAATACCAATATCAAATATTAATTAACGAAAATAAACTTAGCTAGATGATCAGTTTTAAAATATATTATTTTAAAAATACGGATTTAAATGATTTAAAACAGTTGTAGTTTTAGTTTTGGTTTGTCATTGACCATAATCTAATGTTCATGTTTTATGTTTAAATACATTTTTTATTTGTATCTGCCCATTGTTTTTTCGACAAAAAGATATTAAAATGGATGTTGAATACTCTGGAAATATACATTTTGGACAAACGATTTTGAGTTTGAACTACTTAAATTTGTTTTTAAAAATTTATTTACTTGTAGTTACGGTAGCTTCCCCGCCTTCGTCCGCCGAACAAACTAGTTAATATTAAGAATAAGTTACATTAAATATACAAATTGCTGATAAACATACGGTAAATAAACTAATGATTTATGTTATAAATTAATTTCAATTATATCGACAAGCTTCCTTTATTTTTAAATTTTTGAGCGGAGCGATAAATGTATTAGTTTTATAGTGATTTTTATTTTTTTTCCTGTCTACAACTTTTCTACCAGCAATTTCGTTAATTTTTTTACCAAAAAGTAAGATTTCTTGAACCTGCTGTAAAATTTTCAAACATTTCTGTTTAACAATTTCTGTTTTTCAAGTCTAACAATTTTACCACAGAATATCTACCGAATAAACATTACGTACAAAATTCGCAAAATTTAAATNAACATTTCTGTTTTTCAAGTCTAACAATTTTACCACAGTGTATCTACCGAATAAACATTACGTACAAAATTCGCAAAATTTAAATGTCTATAAATAACTCAAAAATGGCCTAATTATTTTGAAATTTTGCAATGTTTAGAAAAGGCAAATATAAATTTTCTGTCCGAATTTCAAGTCTCTACGAATATTTTAAAATTAATTACAATAAATAACAAAATTGATAAAATAATAAAAGCATTAATTTCGTACATTTCCCGTTTTTTTACGTTTTATCCTGGTTTTCCCAGATATTATGAAAACCACTTGGAAAATAAAAAAATGACCTGCAATAAGTACCATCTGGACAACATTCCTTTTCAGAAATGGTGCCGAGCGTATATATCTTAGCAAGATTTATGTTGAATTTTTGTACACAGGATAAAAATAATAAACATCTTAGTAAAACCAATACTTTCTTCGTTACACTCAAAATCTAAAAATAAAATAACGTATTATGATCATTACATATGTATTTATCATTTAGGTATTATACTCTATAATATACCTATACATTGGTATCTATCGGTTATCACTGTATATCTTGTGTAAATATTACTTACCGGGCGGCGGAGTTGCATTGCCTGTGAATTAACATAAAAATTAATTAACAAATAAAATTGTGAAATGTAATGGTACTGAATCAGTGACTATCATAATATATTATTATTATATGAGTAATAATATAATATTGTTATATATTTGATTGCTCGTGTAGTCACCAATATCTGGATTGCAGTGATCGATGTAAGTCACATACGTTGTAACCAAACCAAGAACATTGATTACATTGATGGAGTGATATAATTGCAACCACATTCGCGATCGCAGAAGTCATATCGTATCTACTTTAAGGACGGCTCTGGTCAACATTTTTTTGCGAGGTCTAAATACCAATTCATTTTTGAATCGATTTCGCATTTAGGGATGTTTAAGCACGAGACCAAGAAAAAATGCTTTGTCTATTGTATTCTATGGCAGACATTTTTTTTATTATAAAATATAATTTTTAAATACATACTAGAATTGTGTAGGAATAATCTTTCTATTCTATTCAACATATCTGAAAATATAAACGATTAATATTATGTGTGATAAATGTAAATTGTGGCATTGTCGTATATATTTATTAATATTTTAAACAATAATATAAAATATGGACTAAGCAGATAGACTGGATACAACGAGGTGAACAGGTGGTGACGGCTCTGTAAAAATTGCTCAGAACACCTAATTTTGCGAAAATGTCAATGCCTTGTGGATTTGACTAAGAATCAACAAATATTATGTTTTGCTGTATGATAAGTCGATAAGTAATTAACGTTCCAAACTTACAAGTTCTAAGCATTTAAAAACAATTGATTTTCTAAAATAACGTCACATATGTATTTAAATAATTAAGACGGAATTATGTAAAAAAACAAATCATAAATAATAATTTTCAATATTTTGTAGCGTACAGTATATTAAAATGCAAATACTATAATAATAAAATATATTATACTTTTACATTAAAAAAGAATTTGTAGACTTATAAGTTGGGATTTATATAGAAACCAATGTGTACTCTTTTTTTCATCCATATTTTTTAATAATCGTATAAGGGTCGTGGCCGTAGCCCGAGTTAAGTAAAATAGAGAATAGCAAGGGAACGAGAGTGTATAATATTTCAAACAATGTTTGCATAATAAACCCATGTAAAACGCCAAGTGGCGTGCCGTGCATACAAGCATTGTTTTCACTTTCAATTATACAAAGTCAGGTATATTTTCAAATGAACAATTTAAGCAACGATCAAGTTCTAATAATGTAAAATTATGCATTACATTTTAAAATTGTGTAATAGTATAAGGAGAAGACATATTATAAGCATATTTCACGATCTACGTTTAATTATTTAAATCATTTTTGATAATATTTGTATCAAAATATTGTGAGTGGCTCTCTAAAGTTAATGAAAATAGATAAAGGTATATAGGTAGATAAATAATTTTTGGTTAGTGCTTACACAGTCACACCACTGACTATACAACGCTACGCCACTAAAAACGCTCCCTACTTTTTACCCACACACAACTATAAATCTAGTGAATAAAGACATAGACGGGAATTTAATGTATATTTGTAAGCAACGATAAACCATTGCTTACGAAAAAATGATTCTGAGCAGAGTTCAGTTGATAGTGATGCTCTGTCAACAATATATATGCCATATTGTAGTAAAATAATTAAATATGCTTTTTTTAATAATATTTGTTTAATGTTGTACCGATTTTCCCATGTTTTATCCCGGTTTTTCACATTTGTCTGGAAAACTCATGGGAAAATCAAAATATGACCTCCCTACACCGATTTCCTTTCAGAAAAGGTGCTACACTTAAAAATCGGAGCAAGTCTTCCGCTAGAAAAGTAGCGCACAGATAAAATATAAACATCTTAGTAAAACCATAAGCTTCTTCAATCCACTCAGAATCTAAAACTATGCACTGTACTTGGTCGGCAAGTAAAAAGTGAAAACACGTAAAACGTTAGCTTTGAATTTTCGTATTTTTCGGTAGAGTAACAACACTACTCAACTACATTACTATTAAGTCCTTATAATTTTAGTGTTTTTATAGTGAATATATAGTTCAATCTCTTTACTGTGCGGGTATCTATGGTAACACAGATAAATACATTAGATCGCCACTGACCCGCTTTCCACCTATTTTTTTGTTTTGTTCAATATACTGATACAGGAAAAGCAAAACGGAAATAAAAGAAAAATAATGAAAAATTGGTATGAGTAACGCCGAGCGCGGAACAGCTAGTATTATTATAACGTTTAAATGTTGTGTTATGTGGGTAAAAATAATTTGCTTGTATAAGTAAAAAAAAAAAAAAACAAAAAATACTTACGGTGTCTTTTCTTGTGTATTTTTACTTTGTTATCTTCAAATTTTATATAGCATATTCAAATATAAAAAAAAAAAAACAACATACTATTAGGCATTGCTATCAAATAATTTGTAAAAATAATGTAATAAAATATGACAAATAATAGTTATTTGCCAATAACAAATAGCATTATTGATATTATACATTTAAACTTGGTAAGTACAATATTTTTGAAATGTGCGTTGATAATAGAAAAAAAGTTTACATGATTCGCGTTTAGCTGTATAGTAAACAATTTTAATTTTTGCATTTTAAAATAACATAATAATATTGTAAATAAAAATTGAAAAAAAAAAATGAAAATTTCACTATAAAATGAATATTAAAGTACATAATATACATGAGTACCGGTTATTGTACGAATATCTGAAACTTAAAATAACTTTTGTTCTCTTTAATCCTTTTAGGTTTTTTTTTAGTGTTTTAATTACCAGAGTCTTAGGAGTATAATTTGTCTATTTTTTTTTAACTAAAAATAAAAAACATTTTTACAAAATTCAAGATGGCCATTTTAAAATATATTTTGAAACAAAATGTTGGTGTTACAAATGTTTACTAATGATGAATTATTAAGTTTCTATAATTTTTTACAAAGTTTACGATAATTTGAATTTTATTTTTTGTTATTACGAAGTAATATCAATACTTTTCAACCAGTCTTACAAAGAATAGATAGTTTTCAGAATACTTAGTTTGTTATTTTTATTCCAAGAAAGTAGGAACGTTAAAAATGTATTTCTTCCTAACATAACATAAATTTCCGATAACTACAATGAAAAATATNATTTTTATTCCAAGAAAGTAGGAACGTTAAAAATGTATTTAATATTTCTTCCTATCATAACATAAATTTCCGATAACTACAATGAAAAATATTTAATTATATTAATTTTATTTCTAGAAAAATATAATATATTGTTATATCAGAAATTATTATTGTAATTCAAATTCAGGGTTGGATTAGGTTAGGTTAAATTTTTATAATTTTTCTACACGTAAAATATTATACGTGCAAAACAGTTATTTTTAATTTCCCGAAAGTGAATTTTAGATTAAATCCCTTCCATAAATAAGCGATTAAAATAGAATCATAAACAATGATTGATAAAAAATAAATACTGGACTATAGCGACCTAATTAAACATGCAATTATATATTTTAAAAAAAATTAACCCAAAACGGACTAATTTTTTCAAACCGAATAGAACCAGTCCTGGAACCCGAAGACTCCTAAAATATTGCAAACTGGAACCTAGTATATTTTAGAATAATAAATACAGGGTTTTACATTCATTATACTAATTTCGTTTTATATGTTTGGTTTTTTAAATAGTTTGTTGATTGTATCCTATATTGCAATTTCTAAAAGAATACTTAACTTATTTTAGTATATTTTATTCAATTAAATCGAAGTCGGGAGTCTATTATTATAATGATGTCGTATATATGTATTATTTTATTGCAAAAATTGATATGGTTGATAGCTACCCTAAAATTAATATTTAAATACATATTTATCAAATAAAAATTCAATACTATTGTGAAATGTTGAATATTTATTTTTTTTTTATAGTTAAAATATCTATTCCATTTTAATAAGAAAATTAAAAAAAAAAAATTAATCGAAACCGGAATTCATTTTTGTTACATTTCACGAACTTTTGCGTTTTAAGTAATTTTGATTTAAAGGTAAGTTTAAAGGTTGTATGTATACTTAGGGAACAATTATCGGTTGTCGCTGTATCAGCTGTTCAAATAATGTCTACTTACCAGACAGAATTTCTTCAACTGTAAATTAAGTTCAAAAATAAATTAGCGAACATAAACAGTGATAGGTGACAAATTTATAAAATGAATCGAATTAAAAAAAAAAATACTGCTAACATTTTATTTATAACGGTCATAGATTTTAAATCAATATTTGGTCAAACTCAAAAATCAGTTATGCACAATACAAAACGGTAAATGAAAATAATACAAAAGGAAAATGACTATGTTCTGCTTCGAGTTTAGTGTATATGAATATAATGTGGTTTTGAACTTATTTAGTTTATTATGTTAACAATCTATTTCAATTCTAGAACTTCTGTGCTAAACTCCATAATGTTCATCATTTCTTCGTGAAATCTCCTTCTTGGGCAATCTAGTACAATAATATGTACCACTGTTTAGCTTTCGGCACTACAATCTTGTATTCAGGTCCGTCTAAAAGTTTCTATCCTTGCACGCAATTCATGCATCTACTGTAACCTCATCTAAGCTAGTTTAAAATTATCCATTTGTATAAAAGTAGTATTAATCCTGCCAGTGGTTCAGTGGGGTTACTAAATAGACTGTTATTTTTATCTGCCGTGTTATTCCACGGGGTACTTTATTCTTTCATTGCATTAAAAATTATTTGTATAATGTGTTGAGCAGTTACACAGCGTGGGTTTCTTGTCTTAAGGCACATCGATGGGATACTACTTAGCATCTGGGATAACATATTGTCCAGTAATCTGTTTCGTTTCGTGATTATTTAAATCAGAACTTCCCACTTTTAATAGAGGGAGGTGTAATTTATGTGAATACCGGAAGCCATTCCAGAGAGGTTGACTTTAACGTGCCACCAACTAATTACAAAACACTAATGTGTTACGTCGCAGTGACTAAATTTAAAACAAAAATAGTTGTATTAGTTAAACCGAGGAAATAGACGATAAATATATAGATAAAGGTAAATAACTTGGGAACTAATACTGAGCTTTAGGATATTGATTGTTATTGAATCCGTTATTGATTGTTTTCTACCACTGTACCTATAATGAGACTCTAGCATTTAAGCTTTTTACATGGAGATTTGGATTTGTTCGTCAGATTAAATGCAGTGGCGCAACTAGGGGGCCACAAGAGAATCTCAAGGACTTCTGAGTTCAAATTTAATACCCCTTGTTTTTTTAAGTCCGGCTATAATAATTACAGTGAAATACCGTAAATTATACATTTTTAATTTTTATTTAGAACTATTTTGTTCAAATGACATATAATATAATCTATGAATGTGATGATATATTTTATCAAATATCATAACGGAGAAACCGTTTGCATGAGAGCTATTTTTAGGCAATGGGTCACAACCATAGATAATACATGTGTTATCTATGCCTGTCCATTATGAATTATCTATGGCATCATCAAAAAGCGCTATATACATTACAGATATGTGCTGCGACGAACTGATAATAATATATTACTATTATATTATTATTACCTTCATCAGTTTAATAAAATCTTTTATGGGCCCAACCATGAGATTAATTTAAAATATTTTGTGACTGTCGAGGTACTCGATACTCATTACTCAGTCAAGTGTCCGTGTTCACCTATTGCGTTTACCTACTATTTTATTAAATATTACATTTTAAAATGTTTTAACTATGCATAAATATAACAGATATGTTTCATTTCAGAATGGTTATTATGATTCAAAAATAATTGATAAATGCTGTTTGGGGGTGTGGGAGCATTGCCTCCACAGGTTATTTTTCGTTATACAATTTTAGCACCCCCAATATTTAGGCTCTAATTACGCCTATGATTATATGTATAATTAGGAGTAAAATGATTACAAATTATTATGACGCAAAAGAATTTACTATTGACGTGCTGTCGTAACCAGCAAAAACTGGATTTGAAATATAATCAGGTATTATGTTGCGATCCTCAGACTAAAAAAGGATCTTAGATACCTTTAACCAGATCCATGGGAGGAAGAATGGAAAAGCGATATCCCCGCTAACGGAATCTTAGTGGGTAATGTATATACTATATAGTAAATCACCAGGGTCGGACCTTCCATGTAGATTGTGAACCAGGCTGAATCGCATACGCACAGGCCAGTCGGTGTAACTATTTATTGCACAAGTGGAAAATCAAGGCAGACACAAAATGCGACTTTGGTGCAAAAAAACAAAAGATGGAACACATAGTAAATGAGTGCGTAAAGAGGAAATTTCATGGAACCTTAACTGAGTTACACGCAGCAACGGACACAGACAATAGAATGGTTGGATTCATTAGGCATCGATATCTAATACCAAATAACCACGATACCTTTCTGTATTCATCTATTTTATCTATTTATCTGTTATATTCCATATTTTATTTTATACTTGTTTTATGAATTTATTAATTTGCTTATTCTAATTTTCCTGTTAACTAGTAGTAGTCATAGTATAATATTATAATCATATTGCATTCAATACAGGTCATTCGATAAATAAATAAATTGCCGATACCAAAAAAACTTCCACATTAAGAACCATTGGTTATATTTTAGATCATAATTTTATATTACATTTATTATATTAGATCAGAATATTATTATCTTTATTGTAAATTCCCATATAGGTTCGTTCGATTATATCTAAACTATAATCGTGCATGTGTATTTACTGTCAATTGTGTTTGTGTTCATATTTTAGCTGTGGGTTGAAAGTTTCCAAAGTACATATACCTCACAGTTTAACAGTGCTCATCCGCGGACATTTGTTGTTATAACTATCCTTCTTGAGACTCAGGCAAAAACATTAACCAAACTATTAACCGTTTCCAAAGGAATAGTGAAGCCAATATCGAAGCAAGGATTACAGAAAATTGACTTTAAAAGCAAAAAAAAAAAACACGAAGAGTATGAACAAAATAAAACGTCAGAAAATTTACTTAAGTATTTGGCAATAGTGGGAAATAGGTATCGGAGCTTTAATATAAATATATAATTTAATATAAATTTTTTAATGAATTTTAATCTATCTATGTAACTATTAGCGGCAATACCGCATCCAATTTCATGCGCAATCGTACTCCATTGAGGGGTCGAAACCATGTTTTTTGTTATGCCGGTACCACGCGCAATCGTATACACAAAAGGTATACAACGCACGCAATCATACTCCGCCGATTTTAGTCCATAGTGCAAAGAAAAATTGTTATCATTAAACGAAATTGTATGCAGATATACGTATTATCATAAATAATATACAGGTATCTGGTATATTTGTTATACACAACATAGTTAATTCAATAACTGTTTGTTAATTTATGGGCATTTACTCTTTGTGCATTTTATTATCTTATGCATAAAAGCAACTTAAAACTTAATTATAATATTAAATATTGTACGCGTTCATTAAAATCAATTTATTTAGATTTTTTAAATTGGTTATACTTGCCCTTCTCGACTTCTTCCTCTAAATTATCAAAATATATAAACAATAAATTATAATATAGGTATTGTAAAGATAAATACGGTAAGTACTAAGATGAACCTTAGTATACCACACAACTGCACGAGTTTACACAGTTAAAATAAACTATATCATATTAAAAACTGCAAAGAATATACCTCGAGATATAAGTTTAAGAACAGATGCTTACCATCAGGGGCATATTCAAAATCACCTGAAGAATTGAACTGTGTTAAAATTAAACTTATAATGTTGTTTTTATATTTCACAGAATTTGATAATAAAACTATTTGTCTGTTGTTTTTCAGTTTATTTATTAATGCAGATGCACACAACATTTTTAGTACTGCAAAAAAAGTATACTTGCCACCATGTGAATATTTAGATAAATCTGGAAAATATATATAACAAAAAAAAAAACTTAAATTATTTACCTAATGAATCTATTAGTTTTATTAAAAAACGTCGATATAGTATACTTTTAGTATTATGATATTTTAAATAAAGGAATAATATTTGAATTAATAAATAGTACTTGCCATGATTGTCTTTATATTCAGACAGCATAGCTATAGTAAAAAATGAAAAATAAATAACATTAATAAATTAAGAATAATTTAAAATTTTACAAATCTATTCAAAAGAAAAATTCAACGCCTTTTTAGATTTTTAAAGTTGACTTAGTTCGAAGATTTTAAATTTTAAATTACTCACGTAAACGATTTCCGTCTGCACAAAATATATACGTAAAGGATTTTAGAATTAATTATTTATAATAACTATCTATATATTTTAATATTATATAGCATACTACATTCGAATAAATACAATAAATACAGATATTATTGACAGCATGTTAAATTGTGGTAAACCTTTACAACGTTATATAACCTTATACTCTCTCTTTCACTCTTTCTTATTATATTACATTAAAATGCGTTTATTTATTATTGAGTTATTTTTATTTTTGTTTTGTTTGTTTCTTATATTATATTTTGAGCGAAGCAATGAATGTATTGGTTTTGCAATGTTTATTTATTTTTTATCTGTAAACAACTTTTCTTCCAGATATCTAACTTTAATTTTAATGTATAGAACTTTTTCTGAAAGAAAATTTTATTTGGATGATACTTTAGGAAAGTCATTTTTTAAGTCAGTTTCCATTTTATTAAGTAAAATTTTCATGAAGTATACATTTCATCAAAATGATATGATAATATATATATAATATACATTAAGTATCTGACAGTGTTAACTTTATGCTAATATCTCTCTCAATATTAATTTTTTTTTAATTTAAATTTTTAATCGGGTTTTGTTCGAGGGGTCATATATGTGGAAAAAAAATTTTATTTTCACCCCTTAATCACTTAAAATAATTATTTTTTATTTTTTCCACTTTTTAATATTTTTAAAATAGCCATTTTGTAAAAGGTACACAAATTTTTTTTTCAATAATTAAGGGATGGAAATAAAAGTTAAATATTTCTCTACAAATATATCCCCTTTACACAAACCCCTATTGAAAAAAAAAAAATCAAAACAATGAATTATTACTATTATTATTATATTAGCATAATGATAACACGTAGGTCATTCTATAAATATTATAAAATAGAGAATATTGATTTGAAGTAACATCATTTAACATTATACAAATATTAAAATGGTTTGGGTGGTGTAATACTTTAATAATATTATTTTCCATCGAGTAGAATTCATTATTCAGTTTTAAAACAATAACAATATTATATTAAAAATATTTGTTTGCAATTATATAGACTCTATTAAGACTAAATAGTACTGAAGTTTGTGGAACACGTCTATAAGTAGTAGTTTATAATCTAAATCAATATAAAAAATTATGGTCTGAGAAAAAATACTTACAATAGGCGCTCACTAGAAATGTTCGAAAATATTACGATTCAATAATAATTAGAAATTTAAAAATTTAATTTGTCTAAGCATAAATTATACTTAGGAAAACTTTGATCTTCTCAAGATATTTAATGAAACAACTTAATAGTATATTAATATCTTAATACAACCTATTGTTACATAAAGATACATGGTGCAATTGATGCAAAGAGTTATTGGTCAATAAGAAAAACATACGAAATCAAACCTTCTTAACAGGTCTTAATACAAATGAGTGAAGAATAAGAAAAAACGAGGAACTAGAAATGAAACCGAACATCATAAAATCCACCAGAAGTAAGAGATTACAATGGACTGCCCCTAGAGTTTTCGGAATACATGACTTTGTAAGTGATAAATAGGCATTCAAGATTCAAGATAGATGTAAGAAAATGTAGAAGTAGGAGAAATATTAAATTTTAAAGTAAGAGCATAAGATAGTGATGACTAAAGATTAAGACGCATGAAAGAATAGTTATAAAATCACTATTGTATCTTGAAGATAAAAAAATGAAAACGAAATTAATTAAACGTATAGGCAAATATTAACACCATGTTATTGTAGTTGTTTAAGTTGTTTGAAGTTGTTGTAAGAATAACTCTGATTACATAAATAATATTAGTATGTCAAAGTACAGAATATACGATACTTACTAAAAATGTCCTCTGCACGAAAATATAAAACACAAAAATATTATTAAGGGATAATGTATGGCTTTTAGAATTTAACTGTTTCATTGTTTTTTAAAACATTCTATGGATATTTCAACTACAATTATATTTATTAGATCTCTATTAAAAAGTATTCAGAAATCTGTACGAGATTCTTCTTCTTCTTCGCCTTAATCCCAACTACTTGGGTCGATCACCCTCATTCTAAACTTTCACTTGTCACGATCTCCCAGCCTGCATACATCAGCTGATCTTATATCGCATCCAACTATCTCTTTTTTGATCAACCTTTTTACTTCTTTTCTTCTACGTTTATTGTAATAACAATTCCTATTGATTCGAATTCCTTTTTCCTAATGACATGCTCAAATTATTTCAGTCTATTTTCTCTCATTTTGTCTACTATCGAAGTCACGTCCAAGCTACCTTTTATGTACTCATCTTTTATCTTATCTTCTTATTTATTAATTTATATTAATCCACCTAAGCATTCTTATCTTTACTACATTCATAATCCGTTCTATTTTTCTGTCAACCACACAACACTCCGAGTCATACAACAGGGTTAGTGTCACCATACTTTTGTAAAAATTACAATAATATTAACTTTAAGTCTCATTAGAGTCGAATTTTCCCACACCTACTTTGAATTTTATGAAAGTAATTTGTAAATAATACATAATTAAATCAAGTTATGAATTTTGAGCATAAAAATTATAAATGGTTGTGGCGGGGGGCTGAAAGTCAAAACCCCCAAAAGACACATCCTTGGCATTAATGCAATTCATATAAAAACTTCCACTTCTTGATTGGAGGGTTCATAGGAATGTTTATAGCTAAAAACCACCCTATTCCTGTAAAAAAATGATGCAATATTAAAGGCTACTACCCAAATATATATTATTAATTAAATCGTCTGAAGCAGTCGTTCTCACCCGGAAAACAGCACTAAAAATTAGGCGATCAAACCCGAATCTCTCGCTTTTTGGCGAGCTTTCAGGTACTTGACTTCTGACACTTTTCGCTAGACTTGAACGGTCTAACCTCCCAGGTTTGGGCGTTTGGTCGCGTAACTGTATGTACGATTTAGAGGAATATATGGCGCTTGCGCTTGAGGGCCACGTCACGTAATATAATTTTTAAATTGTATTAGGGAAAATGCGTTACAGTGGAACAGTAAAATTTAAGTAGTAGCTTTAATCTTTACATTATAATATAAAAATTTTTTTAAAAGACCAAAGAGTTTAAAATTCGTATAAACCAGTCGTTATCGCTTGTCTTTTTACCTTGCGTTGCTAACAAAAAAAACAAAATACCAGACATTTTGCTGAGATTTTCAAGTGTAACATTTTTTCTAAAAGAAAATGTGACTGGGTGGTACTTTAAAAAGATAATTTTTTGATTTTTTCAGGAATTTTCATAGTGATTGAAAATAACTTGAAAATATATGAAATTAATTATTTATTTATTATATAAGTCGTAAATATTAGTGCCTCTTAAAATATGTATAATCGAACTTCAGTTATAATTTGTTTTCGTTTGCCAAGATTAATCGTTGCGTATATATATATTCAATTCCATTTTATATCCTACCTTCCCAACTTCTCATCTACAACAGTGACCCACCCATCGAGCGAAATGCGAAGTATGTTCGTTTTGTTTTTTGATTATGTCTGTTGTCTAAAACCATACGGTATTCTGTTAATCGCCTAGGTATTATGCATATAACATAGATGATTTTTATTATATACGTAGAATTGACACAATTACATTGTACTAGTACTTGATTTTTGGGGAGAATTCGACAAAAATGATTTTTACAAATTCTGTTTTGTAATGTGAGTCTTGAAAATTATTATTATTATTTTTGAATACAATTATTTACATACGGAGACGTCCTTTCGAGGCTATTCATAAACAAACATTTTAACACATTTATTATACATTTATACATAAGATAAGATTATAACTTATAATAATTTTGTTTTAATAATTAAGGTCTTTCAAATATTACGTACAAATACACTACTTATTTTACAGATGTACCTATTTTACTAAAATACCGAATTTATTATCAATTATAATGTCTTTCTTTGAATTATATAAGTTAAAGTTATTACTAATACTATCAATTTTATCTAGATATTACCTACATGGTGATTCACAAAGCGTATTCATTTCATTTTTTTTTTGGGTTAAATTTTGCATGCATTCAAATTCTGTATTTTGGTATTTTTAAGTGTATTAAAGCCGATATCTTCGAATATTTAGATTTTTCACTACATTTAAAGAGTGGATACTTTTTAAATGTATCCTGTCGTGATACCCAACTTTGATTTTTCAAATGAGAATCTATATTAAAAATTCCATACATAGATGGAGTGTTACTTTAAATAAATTTGGGTGTTATAATTTTTGATTTTCCATCAATCCGTTGGTATCACCACAGAATACTCCTTAAATGTTGTGAAAAATTGAAGTATTCAAAAATATCGGTTTCAACTACAATTAATAATTCCAAAAATTCGAATTTCAATACATGGCAAATTTAACCATAAAAATATGTTGAGCATGCCGAGTGAATCAATTTGTGTAAGCCTAAATAATATATATTAAGTTCATGAAAAAAAAAAACTAATAAATAAAATATATTCGTAGTTAAATCTACTCTCACGTAAAATTTGAAAGACAACCATTTTCAATCATGTAATATGCTTAATTATATTTATATATAAATTAAATTATTATTTATAGGTACTCACTAGTCTTAGATACTGCAAAATGTAATAGATTAAATTTTTTTTTATTTCAGTAAACTAAAATTTATAGATAAGTCAATTTAGGGAACATATTATTTATATACCTACTTGAAAATATGTGTATCCATTTGTATGACAATAGTAAAGGAGGGCTTATCCAAAAAATGTATTTATTTGGAACAATATTGCCGGAGCATTTATCTAGACCGTTTTCACCCGGAATA